AAAAGTGATTTTATGTCCATAGAAAGCACATTAAATGTAAATAAAGTGTCTACTTTTAAGGTTTCAAATACGTCTTTGGAGAATAAAATGTCAAAATTTGTTTGAAATAATGTAACATTGTCATTCAGTGTAACACTTATAGTTATGTAAAAATTCAAACAACATGCTTATTCTGACTTGTACATATTAAAATATATAAAAGAATAAGGGAGCATATTAAATTTTATTGTGTTTTAAATGAGTAAAAATTCTTACTGACAAATGGGCAAAATCTAGGATAGTGGCACATTTAAAAAAAACATTTTAATTACAACTAATTAGTATTTGGGGTGAAAATAATTAGTCTTTTAATATGTCATAAATTGATTTTTGTTGTAAATGTGCCTGACAAGATTGTTACACTGAATGACATTTTAATGGGTGTCTTCTGTAAATCAGGGGAAAATGTATGATATTTATTTTTTGCTCGGAAAAACAAAAACTAAATTGCAATTACATTAAACAGAAAACTTTTACATTTTTTTGTGGAAAAACAACAACAATTTAAAGCAGTATTACACTTATTGTTTTTATGCGTAAACCCTTTTGACCCATGCACAAACACAATTTAGAGGCATACAGGACACTTGTTTAGTTTGAAAACCTAAAAGAGTAGATGTCGTGTTGAAGACAGTCAGTTTTGTGTTGGTTTGTGGTTAAATAGATAATTAATACATCTATTAAAATCACCAAAACACCAGAGACTTCAACAATCATGAAGAACAATATTGTTACTCGAAACAAAACAAATGTTAAGAAAAACTTTAATTTCAACTGATTGCCAAGGCAACATTTCTAATTTTCATTTAGTTTCACTTAAAGTACTAAAATAATTAAATACTAAAATAAATAAGCTAAAAGTATTAAAATAAAAATTAATTTAAAACTATATAGACATACTGTATTTAAAAATCAAAAACGAATAAAAAAAGACAAAAACAAAAAATAAATCATTAAAACAAAGTAAAATTAAATAAAAACAGAATATAATAAATATATAAAAAAATCTAATTCAAAATATTAACAAAATACATTTACATATCTAGAAGAACAATGAAAGTGAAGTTTTTTTTGTGCTGTTGTATTTTAAGCAAGCCATACTTTAATATTTGAAATTTCATTTTATTCTACACTACAGAAACCTGTGATGAACTTTATTTGCCTTGGCTTTTCTAAATAAATAAATACATAAATAAACTTAAATAACAGTTACTTGAAAACGAACACTAAAACTTACAATGAACTTACAATCAAAACAAAACATAAAAATAAAATCTAATTCAAAATATTAACAAAAACTATAATAATATATCAATGATACTAAAATAACACACCGATCAAATACTCCATCTGTTTTGGAAATTAAACACAAATTTCCAGGAAATCCACTTTTTTTCCATTTGTTTATAATTTGAATGTCATCATGTTTACATGAAGTTAACACGTCTTTGTGAAATAGCAGTTTAATGTAATTCAAACATATTTGATCAGTTATGGATCTTAGTCATATTTAATGTGACGTGAATGAAAACGAGGCTGTGACAGACAGATGTACAGTTATTATTATTATTTATTTTAGTATGCATTTTCAGTGTTTCATCAATTGATTAACACCAAATCACACAACAGCACAACCCTTGGAACAGACAGTAAGCCTGTCCCTCACAGACTCGTTTTTATTTACACCTAATTAAATTAGCCGTCTATTTGACTAAGATGCCCAGTTATTCAACTACAACCACTACTACTACTACTAAAGAAGAATTTAAAGGGATATTACCCAAAAAATGAAAATTCTGTCATCATATACTCACCCTCAGCTGACGGTAGCCATTGACTTCCACAGAATGGAAAAAAATACTATGGAAGTCAATGGGTACCGTCAATTGTTTGGCTACTAAGATTGCTTAAAATATCTTCTTTTGTGTTCAACAGAAGAAAGAAACTCATACAGGTAGAGGATGAGCAAATGATGACTTTTTGGGTGAACCGTCCCTTTTAATAGCATGCATGCAAGAATTACTTCAACTTTGTGAAACACAGTAATAGTTAAAATTGGTCAATTTCATCAAACTACCAAAAACTAGGAATATTAGTATTGTTGAGTGCACAGCTACTAATAAAGATGTCTTCTTTTCCTCTACATGCCAAAAACTCTCCTTCGGGCAAAGAGTATTTTTGGTTGCTACAGGTTGGCACCGATGCCCAGTTTACACTGTCTGGAATCAGATTAGCTGGTGTCTGATGCCAACCGTTCGAGAACAGAAGCAGAAAGAAGCACTTACTCTGCACAGCCTCGATCGAGAGAAACACAGTACCTTGCATACCTGCGGGACCAAAATCTTGCCTGGTGAGGAAGATGGCGTGGTCGTGATGCTCGGCGTGCTCGGGGTCGAGCCTCTGCTGGGTGTTTGCCCAGCGGCACACCTGCTCCAGACTCCGGGACGGATTCCCGCGCTCAATCAGGCTGATGGACTGGAAACACACAAAACAACAAACCAGAAAAAAACATTAGTCCAGAATGAAGTAAAATAAAATAATATACAATAAAAAATAAAAGAAAATTGTGTGGCCCAAACATGGCAGAGAGGTAAAATAAAATAAAATAAAATAAAATGTTGTAGGCCAAAATGGCTTAAAAATAAATAAATTAATTAATTAATTAAAATTAAGTTGGCCTAAAATGGCAGATAAATAAAATTAAATAAAATTAAATAAAGTTGGCCAAAAATGGCAGAGCAGTAAAATAAAATAAAATAAAATAAAATAAAATAAAATAAAATAAAATAAAATATGTTTGATTATTGTTTTACTGTTGTTAAAAAAGCCTAACCAGGGACTGGGGCTGCAAATTAGCCTTTGGCTGGAAGCCTATATGTGGAGCATCGGCTGCTTGAAATTGTAGCAAGGTTATACTGCATTGTCCCTGTTAAATAGACTAATAAATAAATATGATCTGCCTCAGAAACACTCTCCTCTGAAGTCTGTGTGATCACAAAGATGTATGAGACAAATAAGAGATGATATGCTGACTGATTAGTGTCGTGATGCTCCAGCAGACCGACCGCCTGCACATTATTACACCACTGCTGTCCACATACAGTACATACAAATCAGGCATGAAATCCTGATTGGAGCATCAATTATTTTTTTATTTGTGAAGCAGTGTTATTTTAGTCTCATTTATAGACTACTACAGCATTTATGAATTTAAAATGTACAATTTTTAATTGTAATTTTATTATGCGCTTTTGTCATTTTTATTATATTTTATATACTATTAACTTTACTTTAATATCAGTTTGAGTAATTTTGATATTGTTAGTATTTTATTTATATTTTTCCTTCCAATATTTATATTATTTTAATGTTATTACATTTTTTATACTATTTTATTTCAGATTTTAAAAACAATATTTCTATTTAGCTTTATTTTATTTTCAGTTTTAGTTTCAGTAATTTCAGTATTTTATTTATACTTATTTTATTTTATTTAGTTGTCAGGCAACATGTAATTTTAAGTTTATTAGGTTTTTCATCTAATATTTTATTATTATTTTATTATTTATATTATTTTATTTCAATTTATTTTTAAGTATTTCTATTTAGCTTTTTTTATTCATTTAATTTACTTTATTTTAATTTAAGTATTTTTTTCTTATTTTATGTATACTTATTTCAGTTAGCCTTCAAAGCAACATATTTAATTTTAAGTATATTCTATTTTACATGTAATATTTCTATTATTTTATTCTTGATTATTTTTTTTTTTAATGTTTCTATTTACCTTTAATTTAAGTTTTAGACTTTTCAGTTTACAGAAGGTCACAATCAACTATTCCGAATATAAAAAGCTGGAAATCGAATGTGAACTAATTCAAAATGTTATTGCTCAGAGGTTGCTCTTTCTTCGCTCAGAGACTATTTCTGAAGTCTCCTGCTTCTCAGACATTTCTCTTGAGAAAAAGGCTAATGTGTCTCCTCTAGAGTTTCTCAATAGTGTCTCAATCTGTGCTCAGATTTAACTTTAAAAGTCTGAGATCTCAAAAGGAGCTAAAATATTTATTAACCAACTCCACATTCATTTTAGAGCTCTATACTCTTATTGGACTGGACTAAGTTAGTGTTGTATTTTTATTTCTCCTGAGGATTTTTAGCAGAAGCCTCTGAAACAATTGAAAAATTTAACAATCTCTGAAACAATAAAAAAAAAAAAAAAAAAAAAAAAAAGAAAAATCTGAGACAATTATGTCAATTTACAATAAAGTGGCAGCCAGTGGTAAATTATAACATTTGACCATTGGCTGTCACACTGCAAAAAAAAAAAAATAAACATTCAAAAAATTTAAATAACTGTAATTCAAGAATTGTAAGATAATCTTTAGGATACCATTAAAATATTAAAATATTTCTTACATATATTGCCTTTATATACTGAAGACCAGAAGCCAACTTGTGAAAATGCTTCAAGTTTGCATTTTTCTATTTAATACAGATTTCTTTCATTATAATATCAGCACAAAAATATGAGAGAAAATTTTAATTGAAAATATCATTAAAAAAATCTTAATTTTCAAATTTGATATACTTTAATTACAGTAGTTCATGAACAAAACCAGCATAATTGTGCATAATCTTTATTTCTTTTTTTGTTTGTATCATAACGCATCAAAGGCTTAGTTAATTTCCAGTATTAAACAGAACTTTTAACCTCAGATATGCATTATGCATCTAAAATGACCGACAGCATCTGCATCTGCTCAATGACCAAACAGCTTCACAAGCAAAGCAGCTAGAAAACTAATCAATTATTGAAGCCAACATGCATTTCTCTACTTTTCGTGCAACGCAATTGTGTTTTTCTAGTTGTCAAACTCAATACATATTCTTTGTCACTATTATTTTTGCAGCTTCCAGCCAACCCCAGAAGCGCTGAAGGCTGAAATGTGTGCCCATGTTTATACATGAGATCAAAATGCCATCTGCTTGAGTAATGCTATGAACATTAAACATACATTTCACATGAAAGAGTTGGCACAAGAATAAGTGTCATGTACAGAGAGACAATCTGCTGTAATGAATTAACCCTCTGGGGTCCAAGGGTGTTTTGGGGCCCTGGAGAAGTTTTGACATGCCCTGACATTTGTGCTTTTTTCAGTTGCTTATAAACATTTTAATGGCTAAAGTTTAGTAGCACCATAATCAGCACAAAATGGGCTACAATAATATGTGGGCAGCATGTATGTATGCACACACACACACACACACACTGACTTAAAAAACTTGTGCATTGCTTACAAAATATCTGCGTTAACCTGATAATTTTTGCAATAACATTCAATACTTTTGCGTTCACCCGAGAAACTTCGCATTCATAGATAGATCTCATTCACATCTATTGTGTTCCCTTTCAAAACATTTGCTTTTCCTCAATTTTACATTAACATTCAAAGTTTTTCCTTTGACTTACAAAACTCTTGTGTTGCTTACAAAACGCATGCGTTTCCCCGATAAATCTGCGTTAGCATTACATTTTTTTGATTTGACTGAGAAAATTATTGCGTTCCCCCCAAGAAACTTTGTGTTCACTTACAAAGCCTTAACATTTCCCCGATAAAATTTGAATTAACATTAAAATCTTTTGCATTCACTTACAAAACTTTTGCATTACTAACACGATTTCTGCAATCCGACAATTAATTTTGCATTGACATTTTAAGCTTTTGGGTTCACTTACAAAACGTTTTCAATTCCCTGATAAATGTTGCATTAAAATTCAAATCTTTTGCACTTTCTCTTTCACTTACAAACCTTTTGCATTCCCAATAAATACTTTGCATTCACATTTTGTTAGCAAAGAGGGAGAACGCAAAACTTTCGCTAGTTTCTTGGAAGAACACAAATGATTTTTAAGTGAACGCAAAAGTTTTGCAGGAGAATGCAAAGAAAGCGAACATGAAATGTGAACACCAATGCACTGAAATATAATTTTTCTTCCCATCTCACGTTGTTTCAATCACCATGTCCCTTTAGAGACTCTGAACAAAACCGCTGTACGACATGCAAATCTTTATTTATGAATTATTAACGTTGTGAAAAGCTGATAAAGTGTTAGTTAAGCTCAGTCTCTCTTTCTGTCTCCAGCTGCGAACAGGTGTGAAAGCAGGTTCTTAAGTTCTTCTCTGATATTGGAGTGTGTTTGCCAACTGGAGGAGGTTCATTAAATCGTTTTTAGCCAAATAACCCCTCTACTATTTCACAGTAAGCTTTAATAAAGTCTGTCAGCGTGACAAACGTACAATACCTGTAATCCATCAGCTCATAAACAAACGCACTGACAGACCAGCAGCTCCATTATTATTTTTAAATGAATTGTTATTATTTAAAGAGATTTTTCACCGCACAAAATCTATTATTGTTCACTATACACTATGAAGAGGCACGTCTAAACGGCATGAAGAGAGGCTCAGGTCAGGTCAGTGTTTTCTAGCAATACTGAAAATATATATTTAATCAAGCATTTCCACTCAACGCTCACCTGACGATATCCCACCAGGATCATTCGGACCAGCACAATGTTGATGTTGGTTCCCAGAGACTCATCGTGATAGATTTCATCAACCTGTGGACACAGAGAAGAAGGATCTGATGAATAAGAGACTCTACAGAAAATCTAAAATCGTAATCTAAATCTACTGTAAATCTAAAACTTTAGACCAGTTATGCAGAACTCATTGAAACTCAGTCAAAGTAGCTGATTGAAGATTATGGATGAGATCCACAAACATGAAGACGTGCTGGCGTTTGATGCAGGAAAAAATAAAGAAATAAAAGTAAATAAAATACACAATAAAATAAATATTATTCATTTACTCAGAGATGCCTTAATTTGGCTCATGAGTAATTATTATAGTACATATAGTAATTAATTAATTAATTAATTAACACATAAATACAAATAAATAAATAATAAATACATAATTAATTTATTCACTCAGAGACATTGTAATTTGGCTCATGAATAATTAATTTAAACACTAATGCCAACAGCTCATATTTTTGTGTTTTTGGGAGCGTTGATTCTGTGGTTTGGGGTTATAAAGAAGTCGTCCACAGTTAAAGAGCAAACTAGACAAACACGGCTGTCAACAATCACCAAAGAAATGAAGGTCAACACTAAAGCAACTCGCTAGTGTAAATGCTCCAGGAATGAACATGCACTAACAAACAGTACCAAACAGCACTATAGTAATAACATGGTATTCTTTGAATTAACTTGGAATATCATGTAAATATAAACGAATATGCCATCTTTCAGTACTATAGTACCACCATCACAAATTATGAGATGTTTTTTTTTCTGAAGGAAATGTGAGCGATGCATGTCAATGCAAGATTCGAAGCGGTTGCGAACATACAGAGCGACAGAGACTGTCGAGAGATTTCTGTTTCCGGTGGAACATTATTCTGACGGACGCTTGAAACACAAATACGCCAGACCACCCGACACAACCGAATGACACACAAGCTCGATTTCACATGCTGTTATGTCTCATGTTACATATATGTAGCACAAGTAAATGCTGCATTCTCAGAGTCGCCACAAGGGTGCGTTATAGTGAGTTTCTTTCTACAGTCGTTTTGCTTATTCAGCTGAATCTAATGTCATGAGGTTTGTCAAAATTAACTAATAAATTTACAATTTATTATTTTAAATGCGATAATTCACTCCACCTGATTTCTGAAGGATCATGTGACACTGAAGACTAGAGTAATGATGCTGAAAATTCAGCTTTGATCACAGGAATAAATTACATTTTGACAGATATTCACATAGAAAACACTTATTTTTAATTGAAATATTTTTTCACAATATTACTGATTTTACTGTATTTTTGATTGAATAAATACAGCCTTGGTGAGCAAAAGAGACTTCTTTCAACAACAACATTAAAAAACGTGTAATTATTCCAAACTTTTGACCAGTAGTGTATATATTTTTAGTAAGTATTATTTATGTTTGAGTTTGTGCACTTTCATTTTTCTGGCTTTAAAATGAGACCCAATATTATCAAGGTGCTGGTGTTATTTTTAAGTATTATTTTAAACTAGTTTTTATTTTTATATTTTTCTGTTTTCATTTTAATTTTAGTCAAAGTTTATGTCTTCATCATTTTTTTTCTTCTATGAATGAATGAATTAATTATTTTTTTTAATATGTGTATCTATATAGTGTCCATTAATTTCAGTTTTAGTTTTAGTTATTATAAAACTGATAGTTCCCTTTCAGTCGGTCACTCTCGACGTCACGTCGGATGACCTGACGAATTGGGATCTCGCTTAGAGAGACCAATCTACTTCGAGTGTAAACTCCTTCAGGGAACGAGGGTTACATACGTAACCGAGACGTTCCGGTCCTTGATTCTGATTGGCTGAGCCACGTTTGAACCACTTTGTTGGAACCACAACTGTTTCTGAGGAACTACATTGTTTGGTGGAAGGATACTGTTTTTATTTT